GGTTTTAAGCATGCGCAGTAAGAAGGCGTGTCGTCTAAACGACCCTTCAAATGGATATTTTTTTCTAATATTAAACAATTAATTGCGATAATTCATTATCAAAATTGAATGTCAAATCAGGTTATTTTATTTTACCAACAAAGAAAAAGACAAAACATTAACATCAAAAATAATATAACTGTCTCAGTAATATCCATAATACCATTATATATGTATTTCCAGGCTGGGTAAAATGGAATTACTCTATCGTAATATTTCAATATTGAATTTCATCCTATATTATTTAGTGTTTCGAATATTATTTTATTATTTTTACTGCACTAAGCAGTACCTCGGTCTTTTGCGATCTGTTACTTTTTTCGGGGCAAAGATTCCATCAGAACTTCAGTAAATTTACAGCCATCAATTTTGAAGACGTTAATGTTCAATAGATTTGTATAATAGTAGAATTCAGTGGTACGTCGCTCTGTTCTTGGTGTTGCAGGACGCAAGAAATAGCAGTAAAAGCAGGGGTACTACTATCAACAATAGACCCCTTGCATGTGACGTCAAAGCAGCTCGATCTGCGGGACAAAACAAAACAATTGCAATCTGAGAATTGGAACCTATTGTTTTCTCCCCCAGATTTAGCTGCATTCCAAAGTGATGCAAGAGGTCTATACTATGGCTAAACTGCTTTCTGCCACACAAAGAATGAGCATAATTTATGAAGGATTTGTTTTATAGTTTAGTAAATAAAATTGTAYATAAATTTTTAAAGTGGTATAGAATCTAATGCGTTTTCAAATAAAAAATCATTTGATGAAATGTTTATCTGATCACGTGACGGTCTTCTTGGCTACAGTTGCTTTTTCAGCTTCCTTGTTGTCGTGTTTGAATTTGTGTGTGTGTGTGTGTGTGTTTTTTTTGTTTTTGTTTTTGTCTTTTGTTTCCTTTATTGTTTGTTAAATTTGTGTTCCAATTTTGAAGACTCTTTAACGAAAGGCTTACTGCGCATGCCCAAGAACTCAACATAATTGCGTTGAAAAGCTTTTYCAAGAAATATAGAAATCTAAAAAAAAATTCCAAGCAGAAGGAAAACTTGCCGTAAATGTTGACTGATTGTTCCTTAGCTGGTGAACACCCAAGGCTTTTCCCCTAGCTCTATCAATCTCGTACCCAGAGCCTACTGCAGGCCAGAAGAAACGAAGGCTCTGGGTACGACATTGAATCTCTATGAGATCTGCCCCTAACAAATCCAAATTGTTCTGTTCCTAAATAAATTCTCGAAGACAAAAACTACAATTTATATTTGTTACTTTTATCCCAAAAGTGACTTTTTTATAAATCGCAATCGATTTTTTGCGGGATTCCCGGGGGTCAATATGGATTTTAACTCCCCTCCCAGTGGGTCCGATTCCTGGTGTTGTGATTGGCTGAGGCAGGTTAAGGCCTGGTKGCAGACATGCTGCACATGGTGAGCTGAGTAGACGTCATGTCAGAGACTAGTAAAATATAAAACAATATTGCTGCTTCAACCTTAAAATACTACATCATCTAGGTAAATAACAACTATTGAATATATAATACACGATAGCACTGTCATTCTAGTTACAATATTTAAATTTTTTATCACGAACTAAAACTTTTGGGATGAAATTTTGAGGGTTTTTTGAGGAGGTGGCGAAGTTCTGCTTCGACGCTGATGTCAAACATTGTTGATGTTTATTATTTCCACGTTCGACTCCTAAAAATAAGCCAAACTCAGCAATTCTGGTCTAAATTTGAGTGGTTCTTTGACATCCTTGATAGTAAGAGACATCGAGGGTGATTTGATAGAATATTTAAGATTTTTGAGCACACTTCACCAAGCTATGCTCAAGGTGGTGTTCCATGTGTAGATTGAGATGAAGAAATCTAAACTTCAACGTGTTCTGCGGAAAAAAGTAATGCTTGATTTCGTGTATTTTGCCCCCAAAAGGTTTTTTTCACCAATTACAGCCGCTGTACATATCTCTGCCACGCAGACATATGGCTTCTATCAATCAACGTGATCTGTGTTGGTAATTTATTTTGTTTGACATGAGCAAAGAAACGCAGAGTTTCAGTAGTTATTGAGGTCATAGAAACTTTAAAATATATATMTAATTTCAACTCCTAAATTCCAATTGGAATTACAGTGGATGAATAGCTACTCTGTAGAAATGCCACTGTTAAATCCCATTKAWTTATTTATTATTTTATATATAGTAATTAATCATCATTATTATCCTTTATGCCTGTGTGGCACGTAGGGCCAACCCAAGGACTTATCCTATGTAGCAATCAAAAGCAATGCATTTATTTTTTATACATTAATRATTGTTTTGCAGTTGTAGCTTCCTGGCATACTGATGCATTAGATCACTATGTCTACGAACATGGACAGTAAGAAAGAAACCAGACCATTGCCAAATGGATGGGTAGTTAGAGCCTCTAAGTCAAGGCATGGTCGTTCTTACTTTTTCAATGTTGTCTCTGGTTTATCAAGCTGGAAACACCCATCTGAGCTTAGTAAGGAGGTAGGGGAAAAATCCATAATAAAATGCTAAATTGTTGGTTTGTGTATCGCTATGTAATATATACACTGTAGCTCTGTAACCTGTTAAGGTCTTGTACCAGAGTTCAAAAAGAGAGATGGTGCGAGGCTTAGAATGTTAGCTTCTTTTGAAAACATCTGCATAAAAACTGAATGAGCYGCCGCTGTAAGAACTACTTTACCTGTAGTTTAAATCAAATACATTTTCTCTCTGTACCTGTGAAATTTTCTCTGACGAGAGGCTTTTGTATTTCAGTCTAGAATTCGGATGTTTAAGTTAAAATATACTCATCTGATTTAAAAACTGTCTAATTGGTTATTTCTTAGGTTAATCCAAAATCCAAAAAGAAAGTTCACTGTAGAAACCAAAGTGGCACAGACAGTTCTGTAACATCTGGTGAGATACCTGCAAAACGCTCAAARATCCTTGTTAGTCCTCCTTCACCCTCCAGCCTGAATACTTCTGTCATTACTGTCATAGATAAAACGCAAGAAACAACAAAAGAAACTACTGAATGTATTAAGCCTGAAAAAGATTTGCCTAAGACTGATACATCTGTTAAAGAGCTAGAGCCGTACCCTGATTCTGATGCTGAAAGCTCAGTGAAAGTTTTAGAACTTTCTGCTAAACATCCACAGTTCGCGTGTAGTCGGACAAAAGCAAATCATATTGCGCAATGGCTAAACCATGTGAATAATATTTATGAGCCTACGGAACAAGGAAGTGTGATTAGTGAAGTAACTAGTACATTAAAAGGAGACCTTGATGATGCCTTTTCTGTTAAGGAAATCCCAGATAATACAGGACTTGTAGATGAGAAAGATGAGAAAAAGCCACCAAAAGAAGAGAAGGAAAAGGAAAGCCCTAAGAAGGATGTAAAAGTAAAGGAGAATGCAGAGAAACCTAGTGATAAGTTGAATCCAAATCAGGGAAATGATACTACACAATCAAACAAGGTAACACAGTCAAGCGAAACTATAAACCAAGTTAAACCAAAAATTGAGCAACCCAAGACTAGACCTCCGCTTAAAAAAGTGAAACCAAGAAAAAGAACAAAACCATGTGGGAACAACTCAAATAATTCTTCAACACGACCATCAATTTCCTCTCCTACCAAGACAAATATATTTACTCCATTTGGACAATTTGAGCAGCAGCAATCAGAAGTTAAAATTGAACAGGGGAAGATTACTGGTACCCCTATGAACATTGACAGAGCTGGCACAAATTCCCAGAAATTTTCAACTCCATTTCTTAAGTCTCCAACTGGAACTGGACCTTATCTTCAAGCTCATTTTAGCAGTCCTATAGGTACTGAGAATTTAAGGAATTCTTTTTCTCCGCCTCTTGAAAATAATTTCCAAAATCAACCCAGCTTTGCTGGTGGATTTGGCATTCAATCTCAGCCATTCAATCTTAATTTCGAGCCATCACAAGAAATGTCGAGTGAACAGATGAATGAAAATGCCTTACAGCCAGACAGTGGATTTGATGAGGTGATTGACATGGATGTTGATAATTATGAAAGGTTAACAGAAACAATTAAAGCTGAGGTACGTAGAAACATGGAAACAAATATTTGCTTCCTCAGGAGTAATTTGCCAAAAAATTAACTTGTGTAGTACCAGAAATTATCAAATTATATCCCCCCTCCCCTACCCCCAGAAATTCAAATTTTCCTCCATAAAAACTTAAATCGAATTTATGTTTTTTCTCTTACCCTCCACCCCTCAGAAATTCCAAATCCACTGTGGGGGGTGGGAGGAGAGGGTATGGATAATTTTTGGAACTACACCTTCTAAATATTATTCCAAATTGATCTTTGGGCTGTCATCTAGTTTGCTTTTGCCTAGCTCTGTTGTGATTGTCCCATGCTGTGATACAACAGCCAAAGCTCAATATTTTTTACCCTTTTCAATGTACAGCTACAAGAAGTAAGATCAGATTTTCAACTGGACACTCAAAAGGTAACAACAGTTTAAAATGTTTTTGTCAATCACTAATATCTAGTATAGACCAAACATCCAAAATCGACATTTCTTTGCTTATTTTCATTTAGATTCAACAAGAAAGGACTTTCACTGATTTCTCTTCATATGGTGTAAGTATTTTTTTGATTTTTTTTTTGAATTTATAACAGGCCATGAATCCTAATGAGGGGCTCTTTCTATGGGGTTCCCTCCACACGCACTAACCCTATGTTCATTATTTACGCACAACACTCCACTCAGACACTCCTCTGTTTATGTGATGTAGTATTTTAATTAAAACATTGTTTGTTTTAGGATGGGATTTACATCATTCTAGACACCAATGTCTTACTGTCACATCTAAAGTTTATCAGTGAACTCAAAGACTTTCCTATAGAAGGTAATGTAGTCTCCTTATATCATTATTGTAGGTTTAGTAAAAGAGACACATAATTTATTATCAGGCATCTTTTTGGTTCAAAGGTGTTGGCAGACCCATACTTGTGGTGCCTTGGATTGTCATGCAAGAATTAGACTCCCTAAAGGTAAGACTCTTTTCAAGCACGGTACTGTCTGTCAGGTACATACTTGTCTTATYTTGGCATAATGTTTTGCCATTTTAGACCACATCCCATTCCCTTGAGAAAATTATTTGTTTGAGTTGTATCCATATTAATGTGTCTTCTTATTTGCAACCGTTAAACAAAGAAATGATACTCTAGGGAATGACATGTTCTGAAATAGTAAAACATTACATCCAACCTAAATGGATATAAAGCTACCATTTTCTTATGATGCGGATTATAAAATATACTTTTGTATTTTTTTAGAGTGACTCTTGGAAAATTCGACAGGGAAAGATTGTGAATCAAGAGAGCAAAGTATGTGAATAATAATTCTTCTCCTTCTCGTTTGGGACACCATCATGTAGTATTTATATAGTAATTATAATATTATATCTTTTATTTTATCAGGATGGTTCCGTGGGAGTAGATTCACTAGCCCGACAAGCTATTAGGTTTCTTCATTCTTGTTTTGAGGCTAAACATCCAAGGATACGAGGGCAGACACTAGATGAGGTATGTTGTATATACTATCAGGGATGTCAATAGAAGCCGGCAACCGGCAGATTCCACCGTCTACTCTTGCTAATTCGGCCGCCTAGTTAGCCACTTCCCAATGTAATTGTAAATCTTGATTAAAGTTCTCCAAACTAGCAAAATGTGTGAATGAAATAAATTTTAACCCAATCTTTGTTGCTGTACTACGAAAACTGCAACGCAATTGAATCTACAACGATCGTTGTCCGCCATCTTGAATTTTTGTGAGAAGAGTGAGACAGGTGATAAGTATGCCTCAATTACATGCTCCAGTGATTTCCAGTTTATGGCCTATTTTAATTTCATAACCGCCTACCAAAAATTTTATTGACAACCCTGTACTATGTCATAATAATGACAATAACATCATCAATAGCTACACCACTACAGCAAAAATAGTATTATGCTAGCAGCAGCAACAACAAGAATGACAATAACATTAACAACAGCAGCAACAACCTTATCCGTAATTACGACAGCAACAACACTACAAAAATCAGCAGTCTTGAACACCTGCCCTTTAGGTGAATTAAATATTTTTTAACAGTATTAAATAGTTTTTAATGTCATGAACTGTGAATAAATTTTGAAGGCTAGTGAACACATGACTGCCATGCTGGAGGAATCCAACGATGACAGAATATTACACTGCTGTATCCTCTTTAAGAGAAAAGGTAACATTTATTACCTAAAATAAATATCATGAATGTAGAGGTGTTTGGAGTGTGTCATACAGTATTCATAAACATTGGCTTCTGGCAAGGGAGAATTTGCAACGATTCACTATATCAAAACACAAGATGGATATATCTCTTTAACAAAGAACAAGATTTAAGAAATTTACAGCTTACTTTAGTTTTTATTTCTTTTTCAGTTGCCAATGGACACTCCATTTTGTTTTCAAATGACCAAAATCTCTGCAGCAAAGCTATGGTGAATGGCATCCGTGCATTCAGCCATCAGGTTCGTTGTCTTTATTTTTTATTATTAACTATTCAATAAGTTATTTCTATTTCTGTAGATATGTGAATATTCTTCAATTGCATGTAACAGTATGTCATTGAAGCCATGTTGGTGACTTAATCACAAGATTTCTCATTAAGTTTAAGTTTAATAAAGTTTAAAAATACTTCTTACCAAATGTTAAGATAAAACAAAAATACAAATGCATAGTAGTAGGGGGGAAACTGAATAAGCCTGAAGCGAGATGACGTTTTACCCCCGACTCTATACCATAATAGTTTTTAAAATTCTTTCATATTAAAATTTTCTATTCCTTAGAGAATACAGGAACAATAGTTATAATTAAAGAACAAAAGCAGTGTGAAAAGGATTATGGTCTAGAGACGGGGGTAAAACGTCATCTCGCTTCAGGCTTATTCCAACGTAAAAACTACTCTCCGAAGTATCAAATATTGTTAAGTGCATCAAGATGGTTGCCATGTTTTTTTTGTCTTTTGCCTCTCTTGGAAATGCTTGCAACTCATCAATAGTTATTTGGTTAACATCTTTTCCCCTTCTCTAGTTTATCTGTAATCCATATGTGTTGTGCTTCTGATAGAGCTTGATTGAAGGTCTCAAGGAATTAATGGGAAGTAATCAGAATAGAACTGTCGCTTTACAAGGAAACTATTTTAAAGGTACATCACAAAATATTTAATGTCATATTCTCTAGAATATTGGACTTTTAATTGAAAGAACGACATACAGCTGTATACTCACAGACATGTTTTTTTAGGGGGAGTAGAGATGTATGCATGCAAAATACAAATTACAGTGTAGAGTAGTGGTTATTTTGGATACCAACAAAAATAAAGAAACAGCGCATGTTGTGTTGTGTGTACTTGTGAAGCACATGCCCCAACCAGTCAGAGAGATTTACGACAGCTATTCTACATTATGATTGTTTTCTTCATTGGTAACATCTTATTCTCCGTCAAGGTTCCCTTTAACATTCTTTGACTACCAATTGTTTCAGAATATTATGAGCAACTTTCCATACAACAGCAACTGGCTGAAAAGAGAGCAAAGGTTAGGACACGTTTATTTCAAAGTTTAATTAATAATTTTCACTCATTCRAATTTTCTTCTGTAACCTAAAGGCTGATGACATCTTGTGTGAGCTTCAGTGCATCATGAGAGAAGGATTGTCTGTCGTTGTAGAGGCTGAAATGAGATTAGCATACGACAACCTGTGGTAAGATTTATTATACATTTTTAGAGTGGTTTCATGGAAGGCATGATATGAGGGTATTTTGGAAATTTTGGCTAGCAAAGTGACAGCTCTGAAGCACACTCAGCCCCCTGCTCTGGCGTCTGTGTAGCAATCTTGTTTGATCTACAGATCTCGGAACACCAAGTTGCAAACCATCATAGTGTTTTTGATATCATTTATTCTTGTTTTTAGGGATAAAATAGTGTACATAAAACCACCATGGACTCTACAAGATCTTCTGATCATAATCAACAAGTAAGCAGTCATATCCCTTAATGAGTACAGTTACAGTTACTACAGCATGTGATCATATTTTAACTAGAAGCACATGTTATATCAGTTTTCACATGGCTTGCTTTCAGTCTGACCTCATAGCTCAACTTGAAGAGCAATGCAAAGTTATATTTCAAGGGTCAAATCTCATTGATGTTGGAGAATAACATTTTTCAATTTACTCCAAATGCTTGGAATATTTTACATTTGGCTATAAGTATAGGTATAAGTACGATAAGGGCAATATTTATTATTTTCTAGACACTGGATTGCAGTATTTGGTGAAGTAGTTGACAGAAAACTTCAAGATACTGTGAAAGAATTAACCAAACATCTAGATCCACAAAAAGGTAAAATACAACAAAATACAAAAAACCATGAAAATGCCACCTTAGCTGGTCCATATCGGACCAGACAAAAAGTGAAATTGTTAGTGCAAACCTTGCCTTCTCTTGCTCATACTCAGCCTAGTATTGTTTCTTATTGAAGAAGCTTGAAGTTCGATTTTATGTTTCTGTCCTATCTTCTTCTAGCTGTACCAGGGTGCATGGCTAATGTAGCTCCTATAGTGGATCTGGCAAAGACGTTGTTTGATGGATTTGCCAATCACTCAAGGTAATTAGATCAGCAGGGTGGTGTAGCAGTAGTATACCTGCATCTCACTCAACTCTGGGGTTTCTGTTTCAATTCCTGGACTCAGCATCGCATGTGAGTTGAGTCAGGTTTCTCCCTTGATTTGAGGGCTTTTCTCTGGGTTCTACAGTTTTTATCCCCCCCCCTCCCCCCCTCCCATAACCTAATGTGGAGGAAAGTGACCAATTTACTCTGCTCCAATGGGGGAGATGGGCTTAAGTAAGTAAGAAAGCAAGACCTAAAGCATTACATTAAAATTTGATCAGTGAGTTAGTTGTGCCTTGACTTTCCAGAAGTTGTCTCAGGGTATTGAAAAATTTTGAACAATTGAAGGGCTGGATTAATAGAGACAGTCATGTGTCACCATCCCTCTCTATGTGTATTTCATATGTCATTTCTTTTTTTGCGCATTTTCAATTTTCTTTTCTTTTTCAGTTACAATGGAGCAATCACTCAGTGTGTGGCAGCCATTGCAGTTCTTCAGCAAAAGTGCAAAGAAAGCAAGAAAGATGCATTGCCATCATTAACCCTTCCACCTCAAGCATTACCCTCCCAGACACCAGCATTACTGCAACCTGAACCATCAACACCTTCATCTGTTAGGATTGAAGAGGTATGGGTTACCCATCACATACTCTATGCTAAACAAAGGTTGTGTTTAGTATTCTAATATGGGCACAACCTTAGGGAAAAACATGTGTTGTGCATCCATTTGTGGCATCATAAAAAAAATTAATCGTTGAGGAAGTTTACAAGAACTAATTATCAGCATTTGTTCATGCTTTTCATATGATAGTATGGAACATTTGAAATTTTTTTAAATGATTAACACCAGCCAGTTTTGAGCAGATAGCTTCCTAAAGCACAGTAAAACAAATTGTAAACATTTTGGCTTCAGTTATAGTTCTAAAAAGAATTTGGAATCAGGAACTTTTGCAGTGAAGATGACTCACACTTACTAATTCTGTAAGGAAAGATATTTGGGGTGTTGATAAGAATGTATTGTTTATTGTAGGTTACACCTTCCAACTCCGACGAGACAGCAAGTGTTGCTTCAGTTAGTGTGCATGGTGAGATATGTACATCAACCTCATCACAACCTCACAGACGAGTCTTATCAACTTTTGAAACAATCTGGAGTGCTGTAACACAGTTCAGGTACATAAACAGTGTTATATAGCTTCCTTTGTATATGTACCACCATTAAAGTGGCCGCCATGTTTTTGTCTTTTGCTTCTCTTGAGGATAATTGTTAGCCATCAGTGATAAATAATCTTTAATGTTTTTTTCCCCCTTCAGTGCTCAGATCTTCAACGCCTTATCTTACCCGAATCCTATCCCACCCAGTGTCATTGAGAATCTACCCAAACCTACTAAAGATGAGGCTATTACTTTCTTGGGCCGGCTGTGTCGCTGTCTTGGCACATTAGTCTCAGCATTGCAGAGGTAATAAAGAGTTACTTTATGATCTACATGTACAAGCTTCACACTCAAATCAGAACCCAGCGTTAAAGTCTTGCAGGTTTGGTTCTCAGACTGTGCACCACAGACTGATAACATCTGCTTTATTGACAGTGATGTCTGGTTGGCCTCCCCCTGGGTTATCCAAATTCACTCTCTATAATATGGGAATAAGCCTGAAGAGAGATGACGTTTTACCCCCATCTTTAGACCATAATCCTTTTCACACTGCTTTTGTTCTTTAATTATGACTATTGTTCCTGTATTCTCTAAGAAATCAAAAATTTTAATATGAAAGAATTTTAAGAACTATTATGGTATAGAGTCAGGGTAAAATGTCATCTCGCTTCAGGCTTATTGTTTGTTCTTGTTCTCATTCTTATTTCATTTCTCAGTGTTTTAAGAGTTCCAGTAGAAAGTCTCAATGAAGAACCACAGTCATTACAGAAGCTAGTGTCTGCCATTGGTTCATTCTTACAAGAGGTATTCTTTTTCTTTTTCAAGCTTAGCTTTCTCTTTTAAAAATTAATGTAATTTAACATCGCTCTCTTTCTCTTAGATTCTTAATCAAGAAAGTCCTGTGTCCGTAGAAGGCTTGTTTCATTTTTGTCAAGATTCTAATTCTCGGTGAGTTAAAAAAACATCTGCTTAGGTTTTTACAGGACCTCTTACTGGGGAGTGGGTTTGGCTTTAACAACAACAACAACAACATTTTTATTACCTAAAGAAATTCAATAGATTAATTACATTGAGTGATTTTAAACTGATAGTATAGGTAATAGATACTCAGAAATAGCAGAGCTAATCTAGCTGAGTACCTATGCATGTTTGGCCATAATTTACAGTACAAGGTAGTGTATTATAGATAATAGAAAAATAAATAAATAAWACAAAGATACAAAACAAAGGTACCACTTTTATAAATCACTTGAACACATATCTTAATAACTATGACAGACTACRAAGTGTTATTATTAAGATTTGCGTATTAAATAGTTTGAGAATAAATTTAATATAATAATATGTTATTGATTATAAGKCTGTATGAGACTAGCTTTGAGGTGGGTCTTAAACTGCTTGATTGATAAATATTTTAGATTTTCATCTAAATCATTCCATAGTGTAGCCCCGACATAGCGTATGTTAAATTTACCATAATTGGTTCTGACTTTATTAATACAAAAAGAAGATCTCGAGGCTAATCTCGTATTATAGATGTGTCTTGAAGAAACAGATTGAAAGTAATCATCAAAGGCTACTGGTAGCAGATTATGTTTAAATTGGTACATTAAATTGGTTGCGGGTTTCAAGTTGGAGGTGCTGGAACATGCTTCTGAGTGCTTTTTACCTGCCATACCTTGGATTTCAGAGTTGCCATCCCTTGCACATTATGGTTCAGCAATCCGTGCATTCGCATCTTTGGCACTGCTTGTAGCAGAAGTAGACCTGTGGCCCAAGACAGAACTGCACTCATTTTAATCTATGTAATGTAATATTAATATTCCCTTCCGTTTTTTTTTTTTTTTTTTTGATTTCAGAACCGCACTTGTCCAAGGTTTGTCTCAGCTCGACAGAGCACTGGCAATGTTACAGCACTGTGCATCTTGTATTGTATAGTGGCCCTTGTGTAAATAGGATATATATGATAATTATTATACACAGCCCTTGCAGTTAAGAGGAAAAGACTTTAAGGTTACTGTGAGTTTGTAGAGAACCTTGTTTATAAAATGCTGTATCATCCATGGAAAAAGGAAAAGAAGAGGAAAGATTGCTGGAAGGATTTGCAGAACCATTTGTGAACCATGTTGAATCATCCTTGTCAAATTGAAGTTTTGTGTCTGCCTCAGACTACTGCATGTATCTTGCAATGAGGACATGCAACTTGCCAATAGTGAGTTACAAATTTTCTTTGACTGAAAAAAATAACGGTATTTAATGAAGAAAAAGGTAATATTGATTACGCGTAACCCATGACAAACGTGAAATGGACAAAGCTGAAACAATCCTAGCATAAAAACACAAGGAAAATCCCTCTATACCAATACATAGGCCATGTCTACCRGTACGATCAACTATTTTTTGTAAAACAAGTGTCTCAGCAATGGAAACGAAGTACTACTGGTTCTGTGTCTTCATCATTGTTAGAAAGTGAATGTAATATTGGTGCAAAACTATACTGACAGCAGAATAGTCAGGATGTTACATATATATCCATGAATCCACATAATGTCACAATTGTGATAAACAATGCCTGTTATGTAGGGAGAGATTTCTCCTTTATTTAAATTTACAAGTTATATTTGACAGAGAAGACTTATAAAAGAATATAGAGATATTTTTGAAGTTTAAATAAAAAGAAAAGTTGGATTTACCACATCAAATTTATGGAAGGTGTATGGCAATACTGTAAACTAAAAAAAATTCAGCCCTTTTCAAAAATATAAAATCTTTCATGGGTCTCTTCTGCTACCCTAGCCTACTGCCAGCCACTGTGAGGCGCTTCTGGTCCCTGGCTTCTGTCATTCTGCCACTAGTGTCAAATGAAGGAATGGCAGGAACCAAAAGCGCCTCACAGTGGCCACTACTGGTCCCGGGGGGGGATACTCCCCTAAATTCGCTCTACGGGTACATGCTGCCAAACGGTATGGTTTTCAGGGATTCTACTCTGGAACGGTATATAAAATCATGCTCGCTCTGGAACAGGGTATCTATTTTCGCACTACAGGCACTGGGTATGGTTTTCAGTGATCTTGCTCTGAAACTGGGTATGAATTTCAGTTCTTTTACTCTGGAACAAGGTCAGGGCTCAGCGGCACATCCCTACCATAAACAGGCAGGAGTACCCCCCCTCCCCCAGGGCTACTGGTACAGTAGGCAGGGTAACAAACAATATGCTAATTCTACAAAGAAAAAGAGGAAGGGAAGGGCAAAAAGAAAGTGAATAAAAGGAGAGGGCAAAAATAGAAAAAGAAAGAAAAGTGTCGAAAAGAAAAGATAAGGAAAAGATCAAATGAAAAGAACAGAATTAAGCATCCTATTATTTTGTTCATTCCATACTGCCTCCTCCCCATATATACTCTTTTTTCTTTAGTCGCTTGTCCAACATCTCATTTTATTCTTATTCAAACGTTTCAGTCTGGCTTTGCTTTCTTTGCCTTGCTTTCACCTGGTAGAAAGCATTAAAATAGTGTTAGACATTGAAAGAAAGAGGTCCCACTTTTCGATTGTATTCCAGTCCATTCTTCCCCATCTCATCTAACCTCTCTAAGAAGGTCCTGAAAAAGTAAAATGGGAACTGGATTTGCCGATTTTGCCCTGGGTAAAATGGAATTTAGATCACGTTAGGACGTTGGGAAGTGGGATTTGTGAGAAAAAAATGTAGGGGAATGGGATTGGCACCCCTTCTTCATCTATTTAAACATTTGACAATTCAAATTTCTGACTTTCAGGAATACAGGAAATAAATCTTAGCATTTCTCACCTGGATTTTTGTCTGAGCTTTCTCTGTGTGTCATTAGTCGTATATCGCTTCCTCGTTTCCCGTGTATCACGATGTGTTTTTGAATATCACTCAGCTCTTTGCCATACTTGATAGGGTTAGAGGTAATCATTGCATCACTATAGCTGTCGTCTTTTTCTCGTTCTTCTAAGCTCACTACAGGAGCAGCAGCATAAACAGCTTGGTTGTATTTTGTGGAGAGTTTATCCCAGTCGACAGTGCTTTCCTCTTGGTTCGTATTCAAGAATGATGGTCGACCAACACTAGCGAAGAGCGTATGTGGCGAAGGCAGTTTAGACGCTATACTATCGTTTGAATCATTTGCTTTGTCGTTTTTGTCTACTTTGACATTTATTTCATTATCATATCCTTCGTCTTCTGAGTCGGAGCTTGAGCTGTCATCTCCAGCAGCAAAGAACGACAAGGGATCTTTTTCTGTATCTTTATCTTTTTGCTCTACTTCGTCCGCCATTTTTGAAAATGCCTTCCTGACACAGGAAACCCACACTAAGACATTTGAGTATATTGAAATGCAACACCTTCATTAACATTATTAAGTGGAGTTAGACACGCAAAAATATCATCTCGTCTTTTAACAACGCATAGCTATAGTTAAGATATAGGTTTTTCAGATTTTTCCTTATTTTTTTCTGAGGTTTTCGAACTTTTTTTGGCCATTACTTGGGATACCTGTGGTAAAACTAACTCGACTCAGTCCCCTAGACCGAGTATTTTCAAAATGGCGTCCTCCATGAATCAAAAGTGAGTTGTAATTAACCTTATGTCGCACAAATTTCGCACAATAATATCTTAGTTTCGCTGATAAAAGAATAACTTAAAGATGAGTAGAAGAAACTATCGTAGAAAGAGAGTTTCAGAGGAAGAAGACTATGATGAACCCGACACAACGACAGAATTACTCGAAGAACGAAAAGAGCTGCAAAAGTTTCGTAAACGTCCCAAAGGCGTCTCTGCCATAGGACTAGCGTTAGGTAAAGAGCTACCTCCAGAGGAAAGCGTCGTTAGTGATCCCTTCAAGCTAAAGACAGGTGGTCTTGTGCAAATGAATGATTTTATCCAAGATCGTGATCGAGATAGGGACGATGAAGGAACAGGCATGTCGGTTGTTATTGGTGCTAACTTTGCTGCAGAGACAAATAGAAGAGATGAGGATACGTTGATGTTGAAGTACATTGAAGAAGAGATAGCTAGAAAGAAGGGTGCAAGTAATAACAGCGAGGGAGGAGAACGCTCGGAAAAGTAAGTCACAATAATACTTGGAGATATTAGAATGTACTTGCTACCTCTAATTCAAGTATAAATAAAGTTATTGCTGTTGTTATTATTGTTGTTGTTAACACAATATTACTTTTAAATGATCGTGATGTTAATGATGATAATAGTGGCGGTGGTCGTTGTGTTGATGATGATGATGATGATGAAATTAAGATGATGATACATGGTAATGGTAATAGTAGTGTTGACAATAATGTTTGTGTTGATATAAATGATAATAATGGTGACAATAATGACAGTGGTAGTGGTGTTGATGGTGAAGATGATAATGGTGGTGGCAATAGTGTTAATGATAATGGTGGTGGTGGTATGGTGACAATGATAATGGTGGTGATAGTGGCAATAATTACAGTGGTAGAGTTGTTGATGATGAAGGTGGTATTGATGATATAATGATGATGGTGGTAAAGTTGGCAGTGGGGATGGCGATGATGGTGGTAGTAATATATGTAGTAGAAGTAGTTGTTATTCTTGTTGTAGATTGTGGTAACACTCAAACTAGAAGTACTAGCAACAAAGCAACAACGAAAATAGTTGTGATAGAAGTGGTATTAAGAATAATATTCTCCTTACCTTTGCAGATCAAAATCAAAAGAAGATTTACTCTATACTGTACCAAAGAACATCGATGTCCGCTCAAAACTCATGAAATCAGAGGAGATGCTGTCAAACCAGATGTTATCAGGGATCCCAGAGGTTGACCTTGGTATATCTGCCAAGATAAGAAATATAGAGGCAACCGAGGAAGCGAAGATGAAACTACTTGAAGAGCAAAGGTCAAAAAAGAGGAGAGAACCTACAGAAATGGTGCCAACAAATATGGCTTCCAACTTCATGCTCCATAGCAGATGTAAGTGTAATTGTTATTCAGATTTTTTCTCCAGAAGTAATTTATGATAAAGGGATTTAATGCAGAAATATCACATGCCATAGAAGATTTTCCATATGGAAGAGGTCAATAAATGTTTTGGTTGAGAAATTCTTGAAGGCCAATAAAGTTGTTTTATTTTAAAAAAAGATGAAGAAAGGTTGATCCCAAGAACCTCCCCAACCCTTAGAAGCTCCACCCCCATCTCTTTTGTAAAGGAGAATTTTCCAGAAAGAATTCAGTTTTGAAAAACTAAACTTGAGACTAAAATTTGTTTCTTTTATTTTAGTTTTTGATGAGCAAAGATCAGTAGAAGCAGAAAGTAAAAAAGCAGCAAGAATCAAAGCAAAAGAAGAAGAGGAAAAGAATAAACCAAAAGGTCCAACTGTGCCAGCCGTAGATTCTACCTTGATCACAGGGAATGATGCAGACCCTGGTGCTGTCGCAGTCAGTGTTCCGACCGATGGTAAAAAGAAAGACACTAAAAAAGAGAGATCATCAGATGACTTTTATTATGAAAAGTTTAGAAAAAGAGCTCGAGATAACTGGAGATACCAGTAGTAACTTATTGTCTTCCTCCTAATGGTGATCATATTGTAAATAGATTTTTCCAACACGGCTAAAAATGATGAGCAGTCCAAGAATAATTAGGCCAAGTTAGGCCATTTGCAATGAACAGTCACATGCTGATATATCACCTTTTTACGGCCATTTGCATTGCTACGCTGCCACCCCAGACAAAAATTGTGACGTGCACTTTGTAATAGACTGCCGTCAATGAAACACGTTGACATCATTTACAGGCGTGTGTGATTCAAAAGGCGCCAAAACTTGTTGATTGTTTACAAGTTTTATGAGCCACACTCACTGGGCTTATATCTGGGCCAATCCAAATGCTTGTAAATGATGTCAATATGTTTGATTGACGGCAGTCTATTGCAAGGTGCACCTCGCAATTTTTGTCTGGGGTGGCCGCATAGCAATGCAAATGGCAGTAATGAATCAATTCAGCCAAAGATCGTTTGGAGAAGACTGGATGGAAATTTTTTTTTTTTTTAACTTTTGGATATGACATTAGTAATCCAGCAAAAGYTATCTATAAAGGAAGTCCAATTTTTTTTTGTCATCCAGTGAGTCATGTGATTATTTCCTGCAAATGGCCAAGTCTTAGGTTGCTATTGGTTTTTTTGACTGGTCCCCCCCTTCCAACCCTGTTTTGAGGTGACCCTTTTTTTCTTTTTCCTAGACAAGATAAAAATAAAATTCTCGTAAAAAGTGGTGGGCTCTGCTATCCTTTTAGTTATTTTCTGAATATTAGGATGAAATACTAAGTGCATCACCAATAAAACTTTAGTTATACAAATAATTCTCCTCCGCTATCATTCTGAGAGTCTTCTAGACCTTTCAATCACCCTACATGAAGCTCCTCCGTGAAGGAAGTTTTGATTTTGTGCTGGAAATACATGATAGACCCTCCCTACCCCCACAAAATTCCATTCTTCCCTCATAGGGGCAGGTAGAGTATTTTACCATACTGTAGATGCTTTATAATCGGTGGGGCTTATAGCCTGGAGGGGAGGGGAGGGTTATAAAAGAGAGAAAGAAAGGTCTTGAATCTGCTTCTTTTATATTGGGTACCCTGTATTTTGCATTAAAACTGTTATGGGTTACCTGTGTGTGGTTCATAGTTCTCTTCTGTCAGCAGGTGAAACACGATCGTTCTTGACGAGTTTCATTCAAGATCTGAATATTTTCTTTATCTTGTATCGTTTCAAAATCAATTAACGGATCAAACTTCCACTCTATCCAATACGTCTTTGAAGCAAACGAACAGGAAAATCGAACAAAGGAAAATCGAACAAAGCAAAACAGATTTTTCAGCTTTCAAGATGGCGACCAAACAAGTTGGTTCAAGCGGTGAAGAAATCTTCCTAAATCACCGAAAAACATCGCGAACTAAACACAATCCAGATCAAGATATTTCCAGTGAAAACCCTAGGAATCAGGGATCGTTTATCGATACACTTCATCGTCTAGACATTGAATTATCGAGGAGATTAAGTTTCTGTGCAGCAAAGGACTCTGGTTGGAGACCAGTTTTGATAGCACTTGAGATATCTGGTCACGGCGTTCCCTGGATTATTGCAACTTTACTTGCTATCTACTTCTTTAGAAACGAAAAACAACAATTTGCATTAAATTTTCTACTAGCTTTGCTGTTGGATTTAGTCATCGTTGGTCTAACGAAGGTGATTTTCCAACGCCAAAGACCGGTCTACAATGAGAAGGACATGTTTGCTACAGTATCTGTGGATAATTTTTCATTTCCTTCAGGTCACTCGACAAGAGCTGCAATGGTAGCTGCTTTATTCAATCTTATAATTTCCAGTTCATGTTTAAGGCTTGTGATCAACTTGTGGGCTTGTTCTGTTGCTATATCTAGAGTGGTACTTGGGAGACATCATGTATTTGATGTTGTCTTTGGTGCTATAATTGGACTGGGACAGTACTGGCTGATGGTTAACATCTGGCTATCAATGGAATTTTCTCATAGATTTTTAATGCTGGTACCTTATGTAGACTTGAAATAATTTGCATTAAAATGGCAGTACAATGGGTAGACATAACAAACAATAAATATTTTTCAGTCTTTATTGACAGTCAAGGGGGTGGGAGTACTCTAAGGTAAAAGTATCGGTCTGCTTGTGTTGTATCTCCTTCAGTTACAAATCAAGGATTTCATATATTTTAGGGTATTACAATAGAAATTTAGGTTTGGCTTCTCTTGTTTGTTTTTTTTTTGTTTTGTTTTTGTTTTGGTATTTCTTAGGGTTTAGAAACCTTCTAATCACACACTGCGATATAATAATATTATTTATCAAAAATCAAAACGTTTCCTCTACGTGTAATCATAAATTTTTAATATCCAAGCTTTCAGGCCACTTGGTCCATCGTTGGGGATTGAACAAAATTGCAAACCTAAGTCAGCGTCATGTGAAGAAAAACAATAAGTGACACTTAATTGCACACTCGTTGCTAATTGCTATGTGCATGAATATAACATAATGGAGCATATTCTATGTCTTCATAAGAGGAAGATAAATGCAATTTATCTTCTGCAAATAATGCAATAATTTTCCTTTCAGAGTCTCTGTTAATTAACTCTTGTTTGTTGTTGGTAATAAACCAAACCTCTGACTACCTCCTTGTCCAACTAGCTTCACTCCCGAGGATTTTGGGAGGTCTTTAGATACCAGGATGAAAGAGTACAAGGCAACAGCCTTATCAGAACATACCAATATATATGAACCTTACATCACATGAAGTAACACGGAACTAACAAAGACACATAAGTTGTGTCATAAATGTGTCTGTCCTCTTATTGATGATAAATTTTGCCAGAAATTCAGCAGAATGGTACCTTCACTTTTGGAATCACAATAACACAATAAAGATACTAAAGGTTTTGGCCATTCTCACACCTTCTGGGAAAATATGCATAATTCATGAAGCATGCAAAGTAGGCCATTTTTGGGCAAAAAGCCCATGGTTTTGATCGATTTTGGGCCATTTTCACAACTTTTGAGAAAATATGCATAATTCATGACGGATACAAAATAGGTCATTTTTGGCCATTTTTGGGCAAAAAACATGGACTATAGCCCATGGTTTTGATCGATTTTTGGCCATTTTCACACCTTTTGGGAAAATATGCATAATTCATGAAGGATGCAAAATAGGTCATTTTTGGCCATTTT